TTCGCAGAAAAAAAAATTAGGTATTTTGTAGTAATATTTACGTACATGGGAAAATTGATGTTTTCTGAAAATAAAAAACGTAGAATAGAATAATTCGATGGATTTGTTGGTATCCAATTCATATAATCCGTAATAAGATCACAATATGTTGGTATATAAATATAACATGAAGAAAGGTCATGAGTCCAACACAAAAAGGCAGTACTTATATATTCATTGATCACTAACGCCAATGACTCCAAAACAACAACTACAATATTTGTTCATCCTTCTTCTCCTCACAATCACCACCACATCACAAGCCCGTCATCGTCATCAAAAGCTACTAGACGACACAACAGTCAAAGTTCAAAACGACATTAACGAAGGTGAAAGCATCTCGGTACACTGCTACTCCTCGGAGGACGATCTCGGGACCCACCACCTCTCGTATGGCTCGGCCATCCATTGGAACTTCCAAGTGAACGTGTGGAGGACCACAAAGTTTTGGTGCGATTTCAGCACGAAGCATGGCTTGGGAAACTATGGCGTGTACACGAGAAAAGTGCACGTACGGTGTGGCTACGTGTGCGTGTGGATGATACGAGCAGGAGGGCCGTGCCTATTTCAGACCAACTACTATAACCAACCGTGGTGCCAGTCATGGAAGTCACGTGCTATCTAATTAATCTCAAACACACCATATATGTGGTGTCCCTTGAGTAAATTAATATGCAATTTACTAATCTTATTATGCATTCATGAAATATTAAAAAGTGATAGATTTTTTGTGCCAGAAACAATATAATTAAAAGAAACTTTAATTAAACAAAAAAAGTAAATAGTATTTATTTGGAGTTATCTATATATCGCCAAGGGTGGATTTAGAAATTTTGTAGAATGTGGGCAAATTCATGAAATATTGAAAAGTGATAGATTTTTTGTGCCAGAAACAATATAATTAAAAGAAACTTTAATTGAACAAAAAAAGTAAATAGTTATTATTTGGAGTTATCTATATATCGCCAAGGGTGGATTTAGAAATTTTGTAGAATGTGGGCAAAATATACTAAGGAGTTAACAAGATTTCAAATGAAAATATTATCTTAACAAATTGTCCTTTTTTATTGTGAATCATGTTCATTTAAATAACATATATTGATACTCAAGAGCGCTTGGATGAGATGGTTTGAGTCTCTTCCAACTTAACCAGTGGTCTTGTGTTCGAGTCCTGGGAATGCAGCAGTGTTAAAACTCTTGAGGGAGAGCTTTGCCGCCCTTGTGGTCTTACCCGGCTCGATTCCGGATTAGTCGGTTCCCCTGTGGATCTAGAAACCGGAAGGTCCCTGTACCAAAAAAATAAAAATAAAAATAAAAAATAACATATATTGATTGACAAAAAGCATAATTATCCTCCATTTTTTTTTTTCCAAAATCATAAAAATAAAAACTTAAAATTTATTGATGAATTGACATGTATTTTAGGATAATATTAATAATGAGTTTCTATAGTCAATTTTGATTAATGAATTAATATATTATAAAAAGGAGTAATAATGGTGTTCTTAGATATGAACAACCAGTAACTAATGGGAACACAATATCAATTTTTAAAATGAATTAAAAAACAAATTAGAATCTTTCTATTTATAACTGCAGAGATTCCCAAATTTACCTATTAATTTCGGTGCTTAATAATCTTATGTATAAATTTATTATACTTCATAATCCCATGTGTAAAATTTTGGTGCTTCGGGGTAGTCAATGTGGATTTGAATTTTATCATGCCTACAAGAATATTTACAAATATAAAAAATAATAATCTAGTATATCATAATTGGAAAATAATAAAATACTAATTTTAAATTAAATTTTGTAAATCAAGTCTATTATGTAATACGAGTTAGAAAAATTATTATGAAACATGGCGGAAATATCTTACAAATAATCCTGTCATTTCAAGTATAAATAAAAATATTATTTCAAAGTTATATAAAAATTTGAATAAAAACTTCTATTTTTTTAATTTGGTAAGCACAAAATTTTCAATTAACACCCGTATAGTACATGTGCTACAGCACTATTACTAAATAATATTATTGAGTTGACAAAGAATAAGAGAATAAAAATTACATAAAAAGTAAATAGGGATCGTCTATTGTCAGGTACACTTCGTACCTACCTAACATTAGGTACCCTCTTTATATCACCATTAGATTGACTTAAAATCAATATGAACCATTAGATTAAGGTACGAGGTTGGTACAAGGTGACCAAAATTCTATTTTGTCTTGTACCACCCTTGTACCAACCTCGTACCCCTTGTACTTGCAAATAACCTATAATTCCCTTATGTAATTAAAAATTAAAATAATTTATTAATTTATAATTATATTTATCTTCAAGTCCTTACATATAAATTATTTCTACAACAATCCTTCAAATACAAAACTATTTCATCAAAACCTCAACATTTGTCATTATTATTTCCATCCAATTTGTTCTTCGATTTAATTTATTTTTTGCTTTTGTCTCCCCCCTCTCTCCATCATTCAATCGAAGAAGATTTCCAATCTGTATATGTATATTTTCAAACGATTGTCGATGGTGAATCTGAAAATACAGATATATGGCCCAATCGGACAATACCGATTCTTTTGTCTACAGAGATATGTTGAATCCAGGTATATTTCGAATCCATAATTATTTCGAATGTATGCTTCGTCTCCGTGATTTGTTTCGCGAAATTTTATGACGTACGACACTGTTTGCAAGATCCCGGAATTTAAATTCATGTATCTAAAATGTATTGTGTGATTTTTGTATTCAATTCCAGATTGTTGACCTTTAACTCCCATTTTGATAAAATTTTTATGTTAAATGGTTTATGCTTCACGTTCGTGTAATCGTGTAATCGATTCTTTTTAATATAGATCTGATTTGATTAGGTGGATTTGTGAAATGAGGATAAATTGTGCTTTTGGTGAATCGTTAATAAGAATATTTCATGATTGATGAAATGCCTCAATAATATTGTATATTGTGTTACTTAGATGTTAATATCCAGTAAGGTAAAAGAAAAATAAAAACGAATAAACCATGAAATATTCGGTTTTGAACTTCCTTCTGTGTATCAAACAATTTACTCCTATTCATTCTTAGACTTCGACAAACCTGAACCGATGTTCGATTCACTCGAGATGATCTCCGTACCATTAGGATACTTGGTGATTATCGTAATGAAGTCAATCATAGAAAACACTGATGACTTGTAGCCAAAAAGACCCCATCAATATCCAACAGTACTGTCGTTGTTTTAGTGTATCATAAATTTCCACGAAGATAGGTATTAGCCATCGAATGACAACTATTTCTACAAAAATAACAGAGTGTTTGGTCACATGTAATTGACATGGGTGGTTTTCAGGATTATCTTCTTCATTGTTAGGACAAATTTATTATGATCATAATTTGTATTTTGGAAGTGTATGAGTTTTGCTATTTTTTTTTTTACTTATGTACATTTTGTTATAATACACGTTAATGGTTTTTTTTACTACTGATTTCTTACTCTGACTTATAAACATTTTGTTTATCTTTCAGACTTTTTTAATATCCGTAGTTTAATGATTTTTGACTTGTGTTAATTTTCTTATCTCAGCTTGTTTAATATCATCTGTTAATGATGTATGACTATTAAACTATTATTAATTATTAAACATTCGCACAGTTAAATGGTCTCGGACATTGTGGACAATTAAAAACACATACTAACCACTTACATTCTTTGGTTGTTATGTAAATCCAGAAATTTGTGGAAATTCAAGAATGAATGGCTGCCTCCTCATTTGATTGTCTCAGCTGGTAGTGGTGATTGGATAGAGTTCTCTCATTGCAAAGGATCAAGAACTTTTTGAAGATGGTGTTTGCTGCTAGGTCCATTTATGGTTGAGTTGTAGCTTCATCGGTTAATATTTGCTGAGTTCTTGTTCTGTATTTGGCTAGTCTATTGGCAGGTTAGACTTTGTTGTTTTATTGTTATCACTTTAGGTCTCAGAGATCCTTGTGCCTTTAGTGATGTATCTGCTATGTTTGTTCTAGAGCTATTAGTTGTTGCTCTCTCAGTTTAGTTCTCTGAACTTGGGCTTCTCAGCTCCCGGTTTGTAATTATTTTGTTGAATGTAATTCTATCGGTTGAAAAAAAAAGGCGTGGTAGTTGTGTATTTGCCGCAGACTAGTGAAATATAGCATAATCTTACAACAATTTGTGAAACAACTGCAGATTACAGTCATTACAGAAATTATGCACAAGGTAGCAGGAACACAGAATTGAAGTCATTAAACAAACAAAACACATCTTCATCAATAACAGCAACGTTCATCTCCAGCAAAGTTGTGTCATTCGATGCAAATGTTTTGGGCCCTTTTAGCAAGGCTCACTTGGAATTTAAAAATATAAGGCTCTTATGGTTTTTCAGTTAAGATTTGAAGTGGACATGTTGTGAAAATAACAAAAAATGGAATTACATTACAACTCGTTCGACTTTGTTATGAAAATGAATTGTCCACATTTTCTTATCATAATTATACACCCTAAACTCATAGGTTAATCATCTATTGGACCTTATTCACCTCATGACATGTTAATAAAATTTACTATATAATACCCCATCATTTTCTAGACTAAGATTATATGTTATATGCACATAGAACAAAAAAATAACATCAACTTTACTATATAATACCCCCATCAACGGCCAAACTCAAACAATACATTAAAAAATAACACCACAGTGACGGTTTCTATCTCATTTTTACTATGTTCCTAATGGAAAGCAAAAGTCCTCGTCGTTTCCAACTTGAGAGTCGTTTCCAACTTGAGACTGTGACGGTTGACTGCTCAGTTTATTTGCTTGACAGGTAGTCGTTTTATGCCCGAGTTCACTGCAAATTAAAACTCAAGTGGCATATCATAAGAAACCTATAAAGTAAAATGCTCGTAAAATAAACAATTTCAATTGTAAGTTGTAAGTTGTACGACACATACCCGCATGATTTGCACTTTTGCTTTTTTGCTGGTGGTGCCCCTCTAGACCTAGCCTTAGGTGGGTCGGCTGAGTTTTTACACTGCTTAGAGCCCCGTACCGGATCCTTCACAACTTGTGATCCTTTATCAAAAGGATCAGTTGATATTACATCATCCTTTAATTCTTTAGTCTTAATGTTATCTTTAGCACGTTGAACTTTCTTCAAACACCTTGAAGTATCTGAATCAGTATGTGACGCCTTCATACACATGTCAACTGATTCGTTATACAGTTCGAAATACCTTTTCTGTTTAGGATCAGTAGATGCAGGTATGTAGTGGAATTTTTCTCTAAGTTCTTTAGCCAATGTCGTCCACCTGTCACATATGCATTCTTTTGGCACTTTTCGAAGTTGCAAGTACTTAAAAGCAGTAATAAGATGACTGCATGGCAAGCCATCAGTCTCCAACATTTTACATGCACACTCAAATTTCCCTTCACTCAAATTTATACGGACCGTCAACTTTCTTCGGTCTGGTGAAGCATATTTTTCCATCGTAAAGACATGTGAGGCTCCTTCCATCTCATTCGCAAGTACAAGATTAGTCTGCTCATTCTCGATCTCCTTACGAATTTTTGCAAAAACTGAGTGTGTATA